AGAGAGATTGAAAGATAGAAGTTGTAGAAATGATGGGCCTGGCTCTTTTCTCATTTTAGTATAAATCAAGAGAAACCAAGTAAAGTCATTGGAGTTAGCTGGTGTACAACTAGTGAAAGGAAATGGAGACTCACCAAGTGTTGTATGGCAGGATAATCTGTTGTTTGGGCACTTATCTAGGACTTGGGTTCAAGTCCCTGCTCTACCACAAACTTGTTGCGTTACCTTGAACAATTCACTTGGTTGGACACAAAATTGAGTCAGTGGTAATGGAGGGGCCACAGGGCCAAATCTGAGTGAGCAGTGGAGTGGCCAGTACCTACACCAGTATCTGACCCAGACCAGCCAGAGCTCAGGTTAGGCCCAACCCATACAAGTTGGGCTCTAGGCGCAAGCCTAAATTGTCTATGCCTTAATCCGGCCCTGCCAATGATCCACACTGTGAGCGCCACTGGTGACCTTCCCTACAGAGAATAAATACCCACCCTATATACGAGTCCTGGTCCTGAACCACTGGGGTCAGCAGGAGTTTTGTCAGTGACTTCAACAATTCTGTCCCTCTCCCACCCCATCACTATTCTTTGCACCTCCCTCAGCCTCCTTCCTGCTCCTCCAATTACACCATTCCCCTTAGTCTACTTCTGCCCTCCCCTTCTCCCTGCACTTCCTCATGGCCTCCCTTCTGCCCTCTATTCCCCTGCTCGCCCTAAATCTGCCTCCTGCTCACCAATACCCTGCTCCATATCCCCAAACTCCCTATGCACCTTTCATAGTTTCTTTACTTCTCTCATCAGTCATTGTATGATAATAGTGTCCTGTCTAGCCATTTGAACCATACAGTGCCAGCTGTTTTGCCTGTGGGCATGACTTCAGTCTTACTGAAAATAGTGGGAGGAGGTAGCCATTTTCATTAGGACTAGCCTCACTTCCACATGCACATAGATGAGTAACACACCAGTGACCATCTTTGCTGGCTTCAGCCCCATTGACAGTCATGGGAGATAGTGGCCATTTTGAATGAGAAAATTTGCAAGTTCATAGCCTTTCATTGCATTTTCAGGAGACAGGAAAACAAAACCAAAAAACCTCTCCCCAGAATCTTTAGATGCATAATCAAGCCACAAGAGCTGGCAATACTGCATCAATTTGGAATGTCATATTACTCACAGTTGGCAAGGTCACAGGCAATTTCTGCAGGATTTTCCACACCCATCCTGATTATAAAAGTGTTATACCACACTATGCCATCATACAGTCAGTGCATGGTAGATATTTTATCATAAAACCATTCTGAGCTTTTAAAACATTTATTCAGACTTTTTTTATCCTTATACCTGTAATACTGTGCTCCCTCAGCACAGTGGCATGAGCCCAGCTGTACTGGGCTTGAGGTAAAAAATAATTAATATATTTTTAAACCTTCACAATGTTTGGCCTGGCTAGAACAAGCTCTCTGTCCCATTGGAAAGCTGAGAATCCAGAAACATGCCAAACACACAGATGAACCATTAAGGTAATCTAAGCAACCTCATCTCTTGCCCCACACCCCTGCTCTGAGAACAACCTTCTCCCCTCCAGCCCAACCCAGCTAGGCAGGCTTGGAAATAATGCCGCTATAATTCCTCTTGGATGCTTGAGGATGTGGGTTCCTCAGTCCCAGCAGTGCTGTCCATTTTGCCCTTTGTTTTGAAGTGTTTTAAAACCTTGCCACTTTCAGAACTAAATGTAAAGCTTGTTTCTTTGATTTCACACGCCCTCAATACGTTTCTAACCCTATAATTACCACCCCTCACACCCTATAATCAAAACATACAATTTACCTCTACTTAGGAGAAACAGACTGTTTGGATTTTCAAAAACATTCAAGCCCCTCAGGTTCCACAGTGGTGGAGAGGTATAGGATGACCAGATGTCCTGATTTTATAGGGACAGTACCGATTTTTAGGACTTTTTCTTATATATGCTCCTATTACCCCCCCCCCCCCATCCTGATTTTTCACACTTGCTGTTTGGTCACCCTAGAGAGGTCTGATAATCTAGCTAAATACATAATATAGTTTAGATATAGTGCCATCACCATGCATCTATTCACTGAAGTATGCTTAAAAAAAAAGAGGCAGACTAGTCCAATAAAAGTGAACTCTACTCTTCATCTCCCTTTAGGGTTTGCTGATACTTGTATTTTAGGTGGGATTTTTGAGGGATTTATTAGGCTTACATGCTGTTGTGGGTTGGCTTTTACAAAAAGGCAGGATTTGCCCTGTGCTCTTTAGGCACTTAGGCTACAACACATTCTGGTTACTTGTGACAGGGTCTACCATAGTTTAGGCTCCAGCACTAAAATGCCTCCCTCAGTGTCCCAATAGTCTCTGGCTGGTTCTAGTTCTACTACTCCTAATGGCCTAGCAAGGTCACAGATAGTGAGGCAATTTCCAAGCTTTCCTGGTCTTGATCCATGAAGACCATTAAAAATTAAGACCGGGACTCTGAGTTGGACCTGATAATAATATGGAATCAGGGAACAGAACACAGCTGTGAATATTTTTTTTAAATGGCAGCTTACATGTGATAAAGCCTGTATCAATAAAATATATGACTAGCTGTTGATGAAAAAGTTGCACATGGGAAAAAATTGGTTGAATCAGTTATACTTTATTTGTAAACAGACATTAATGCCCATAAAAATAGATTGAAAACTTTATACAAATGTGATCTCCATTTATGGACTATATAGTAAGAAACATCCCACTTAAATACTGGTAAAAATCTTTTCACATGCATATAACAGGCTGGAAAAATGGCAAAACTTGTAGCATAATTGTGCAAAAAATCACTTGCGCCTTAATGACTGCTAAGATGTGGGTAGAGGGGTTCCTTTTTCCTCCCACTCCACATGATAAGGGGATTCTGCATCATCTCCTTCACACCCCTCCCCCTCCCACGTGCACACACACACACACACACACACACACACAATGATGGGTTGGAATGGTAGGTGTGTGAAAGAAAGTTCAGCAATTCCATGTGATCAAAGCAATAGGAGAGCATGCACATGCACAGGATGTGGTGTGATTACTTGCCATCATATGTTGCTGCACGTCAGAAGCCTCCTTGATAAACAGTGGCAGAAGCCTAGATATGCAGGTGCAAGGGGGTGTCTTGTGAAACATCACATGGTATCAGAGCCTACGCCTGGCTAGGACAATGGCCAAGGTCAAAAATAGTGCAGTTACACAAACCAAGTGAGATTCATCATCTAGACTAAGGCTTTGAGACTCCAGTTATAATAGGAAACTGATTAACTTTAATGAGGTGGATGTAAATATCAACTCCCTTGCAACCACTGTAGATCTTATCAAGAAAAAATTCCTGCTGGGTTGAATGGAATTATCCCTTTGACAAGCTGCAGGTGTTGGGCATAAGCTGTATTCTCTGACTGCTTGGGGTTGCCTTACCCTTGTCTGTCTACAGTAGATCTTAAATATAAATGATTTAATTTTTCCACTGGAAAAAGTGGACATGGGGCTGAAATGTCTTCTATCATCCAATGAAAGGAAACGAGAAAACCTGCAGTACACAGAGCTGCTTTACGTGATTATAGCAACTTGAATTCTGAAAGAAAGGAGGCTCAGAAGAGATTTCTTTCCCCTCCTAGCTAGAGCTTTTGTGAAACATTGTCCTAAACAAATAAAAGAATTTTGCTCAAATGATCTACCTTGCTGTTTTCCTTTCCTTTGAAGAATCCTATGTTACAATAGGCAACCCATCAGGAATAATTAGATTATATGGCGGCATCCATGGAAACAATAAAGCTTTTGAAAAGAACTCCTACAGAAGATCTTAGAAATCACATCTATTATGGATATCTTTTACTATTTCAAAGACGGTGCAGCTCCAAATGATGGGAACTAACAGTGGGGCAAATTCTGATAGCTCTACGCTTTGTCCCTTGTCGATAATTATTACTACATGAAACAGTCAACTAGTCATTGTACCAAGGAGATCAATTGGGTTGCAGGCAGAAATTAGCCACATTTTATTTTAAGCTTCAGCAATGAGTAATGCAAACTAAATATATTTTACATAGCATATTTAGTAAACTTACACTTTCATATTCACTTTAAATAGGTACATGCACAAGATACAAAACCAAGAAAGAACAGATAAGTCTGTATGAATCTGATCTTCATCAGACCTAAAGACCTGAATATTGAGCTCATCTGTACAACCAAGATGAAGACTAGAACCTATCCACCTCTATTGTGCTCATTTTTATGCCCCAGTTTAACTCCAGTGTTTCAATGTTTCCAAATGTTGCACTCTCTCTCAGGCCACTTACCAAGGATAGGGGAAAAAAAAAAACCTTGGGTCAATAAAGTAGGAAATTGTGGGGAAATGGCCCTGTTCAGCTATTTTTCCTAAGTGTTTATAATGCATTAGAAAAAGTGAGAAATCTGTCTTTGTCAGTGAAACCAGCCAACTACACATGATCTGTGACGTACATTGTACAGTGTTGCCATAGATCTCACTACTCTTGCAGTGTTGCGGGGAGGGGTAGAGATTTTCATATTAACTAACTTTTAAGTCCTTCTGGAAAGTGTCAGTTTGACAGCACTGGAAATCGAAGGTGGGATTTTCAAAAAGCACCTACGTGATTTAGGAAGACTAGACCTTTTAAAGTCAGGGAAACTAGTGCTTAGTCACTTAGGTGATTTTGAAAATCCCATCTCAAAATCTTCAGTTTCTCCACTGAACAGATACAGTGTTGTCAATGCAAGGTTTCCTCAAAATGGCCCTGCAAATCTGTCTTAAAACAAGTTGGTGAGTCGACTCTCTAGGGCTGGGACTACTATCTCAACTGCCATGACCATTAAATATTTTGTTTCTATAGAGAGACTGCCAACAGGGTGCCAGTTAGTGCTAATTAGGATGGTGCTTTTTGTGATATAGATACTTCTCCACTAGGAACCAAGCTAAAATTAATTGTTCATTTCACACAGGTCATAGAACAGCCATAAAACAGCAATATCTTGGTCACTAATCAGTCTGGACTGGAAACCAAGCACTCAGATACCCCACTAATGGACATGGGATAAGAACCTGAACAGAATGAGATATAGAGATGAAAAACTTCATACCAATTACCAAATTCCTGAGCCAGTTAGTTCCTGTGAGGATGAGCGTCTGTGGAAAAAGCATATTTCCTCTTTCTACCTTTTGTTTCTTTGCCTGATTTATTGTGACAATTGCAAGGAAGAGATAATTTTCTATTTGTATTAGAGTTCCTCAGTTTTCTTTTATAGTAACCTTGCATAGTGACATAGTACATTATCTTACATATGTCTTTCTTTTTCTGGAGTCCCACTGAAGTGTCATAGACTAGATAATACTGTAAGCAGTATATTTTTCTAACAGTGGTTCAATTTTTTTTATAATCAGGAGTGAGATGGAGTTCCCTTCTGCATACCCTGTGGATATTTGGCCTGGGCCCTTACCCCCCAGATCATAAAAATCAGTATTGGCACCAACAGTGGAGATTATGAGTAGCATCAGCATGAGTGACTCTTAGGACACAGTTCAATTTCCTATAAATTCAGGACTTCATTCATTGAAGTGCTGAGCATCCACAAATCCTTTGGCTTCAACTGGAGTTTTAGGTGCTCCGTAACTCTGGAAAATAAAATCCTCAACTCATCCACTATCCATTCTGGTGGTAGTGATCTCCTTCTGTCAGAATGCTGCATAAAGTGTGTATAAAGACTTGAGCTATTCTCCATGATATGGCCCCCAAAAAGGGAATGTTCTGATTCCTTTAAAAACAAAAAAACAAAAAAACAAAACAAAAAACAACTGTAATCAAACCTCTCTTGCCATGCAAATAAAGATGTACGGAAACCACACATTCTTAAAATAAATCACAATAAAATTATTAAAAACTAGATCAGATTAAATGCAGTTGTCTCCAGCATTGCCTAGGTCTTAAATTAAAAAACAAAACAAAAAACCCTGATGTTCGTTGTATTACTAACTGTTTCCACTAAGGTGTGCTAGATCTCCAAATATCATCACCCACACCCTACTCTTCCATTACTAAATGTACTGTTTGTTATAACCTCAACAATGTCCACCATTGTGTCTCAAAACTGCTAACCCTTTCATGCAACCATTTTATACACAGCATGTTTTCATGCAAGAACAACATATTGTAGAGGAAATCTGCTAAAACAAAAGGATGATTTCTCTATTTTAAACTGGACAGGGTGATTAGTTCCTGTCTGCATCTACTTTCCTTTGTGAAGGAGTGACACGGATATTAGCTTTGATTTCACAGAAATGATTGTGTATGTTATTCTAGGGGAATTTGGAAAGCCTTAGCACTGTGAGAGAAGGGTTTTTCATGCTGTTTTGACACTCATCTGCTTCCAGGATCCATTGTGTGATGTTGTACCATCTCTATTGCTGCCAGCACAAATGTAAGCACCTTTTGCTTTTACATCAGGATGATTCCTCCATTTTTCATAGATATATAATCCAAAAGGTTGCCCAGGCACACCTATTGATATCTGAAAAACAGAGAACACAGTGGGGCATTTTAAAATAAGCTGTCTACTCAGGTCTAAAGGTTTAACAAAGAGAGGTCTGGGGACGGGTGAGGTTGAGAAGATTTAGCTTCCTCCTGCCCCCCTTGCAAATCCTGAAAACATATTACCTTTGATTTTAAGAAGAGTTCATTCTGTTTGAAGAGAATAATGACACAATAATTTCCACCCAACAGGTTATCTCTTTAAATTGATATCAGGTGAGGGCACACACTCTTCCATCATAAAGCTTGTGGTCTTCTAGTGTTAACATAGGGAGTTTACCTCAGTGCCTAACCGATTTTCAACCAGATGCAGTGCTGCGAAAAAGACTAGTGTGCCTGTAAAAAACAGAATTTTCATATCTAATAAGCAAATAAAAAGATTTTTAGCAACAAGGTTGGAAGCTAAGAAGGGTTCATTTAATAGTATAAATATCAATATCCTTTTTTGGGGGGGAGGAATTGTTTCCCATACCATTTAGAGACAGAATATATGCATTTCCTCGAAACTCAGGGAAACAAGGTACAAAAGGACCACGGGCCATATCCTTGCCATCATTTAAGATACTCTATGCCATTCTGGCAGCACAGAGTAAATTTAAAAGGCTGGTTTAATTGTCCAGAAGAATTCCTGAGAAGTGCAGGGATGGCATCGCTGGTTCTGTGCTACTGCCTCCATGTCCTATATCTCAGGGTAAGAGGTGTGCTTATGGGGGGAAAAGGGGTATGGTCAGACTATCCTTTTATTCAGAAATTCATCAGCTTTGTGGAACTGCCCGTTGTGGGCTGCTGCATCCCCAAGTCTGCTCTAAGGTGAGGCCTGGTGTCTCAAAGACAAGGAAGCCATAAACAGTAGAACTTGGGTGGGGAGAATTAACATGCACCTTTTTCCCCATTCCCCTCCTGAGCTGAGTGCCAACGAGCCACTACTTAGGATGTGGCCCTACTGGCACAAATAACCACTCTTTGGTCATCCATCTAGGGCCTCCACCTGGAGACAGGCATCCATGGGATTTTCAAACGGTGTTTAGCGGCCCACAAGCTGTCCAAGTACGTAGGGGCTGGAACACTCAGAGCATGTGTCAAGGGCGTGGGCTGGGGAACATGTGGTCAAACACCTGGCTGTTCCAGGTGATCCACAATTGGTAGTGTCAGATGCTAACGTAAAAGCCCCTCATTGGCTGTTTTCCAATCTGTACCCTTAAAACAGACAGCACACCAAGAAAGGACTCCCAGAAATGGATCTGAGAGACGGCCAGTCAGACATATTTTGAAATGGGGGAAGAGCTTCGACATTATGATATGCACTCTTATAACCATGAAGTTTTGAAAATCGCCTGTCTGGCCATCCAGCTGAAGTCTGATCACACAGACATCATAAACAGCTAAACATTTGACCTGGTTTTCAGGCATCCTTGGATGACCTAGCACTACTTTAAAAATTCCTCTTTCTCAGAGCTGTCAACACTACCCGTGAAAAACCATGTCTGGCCATGCAGAACAGGCCCTTTATAAATTCACCTGCATCCTTATGAAAACCATTAAAAGTGTAAAAAAAAATACAATTTTAAAGATGTTTGAGCTTTTAAAATTTTGTTTCTGGATTTTGAGAGAATGCTGAAAAGCCTTTTTTAAAATGCTTGGAACCAAGGCTCTGGCTCAGCCCTCTTACAGCAACACCAGGAAACCACAAAGTTTAGGTTTGGATCTCAGGTTTCCCAAAGGTCTAGAGTGAGCAGATTGAGGATTTTGGTTTGGATCAATGCATGATCAGAATGTCAATGTTTGACTTTGGCTTTTTTTTTAAAATTGCCAAACACTCGGTTAATTTAACTGTATCTGTACCACTGACAGACTATTAAACACCTTCCATTTAATTGTTATATATAGATTGACAAAAGCTCTTCTACATAATTTAGACCACACCTGTACAGTACACAGTGGAACAAAAAACAATAAATCTGCCTTTTTTTCCAAGGTATAGTAGACAAAAGGTTAATCCCTGTGAACAGTCAATCCCCTTCCTTCCCTTGCACTCCACTCATCCATTCCCCCAATGTTGCTCAAAACAAACATCCAAAAAAGAGAAGGGCTTCTGGTTTTGTCAGGTCATCTGGGAAAGTAGATTCTAGAGCAAAGAATGCCTCCAAGAGCATGACCATCATGCTTAAATCTGGAAATTATAAGCTCAAACACCCCAAAAAACCTTCAACTGCCATGGCAGATCACAAGGAGAGATTAAATCTCTTTTGATTGTCACAGGCCAAGCTAATACAGGGCTTTATAAACCAAAGACAATTGCTTCAATTGCACTCAGAAGCACACAAGAAGCCAATGAAGCTCATTTAGAACTGGTGCAATATATTCCCATTAGCTAACACCACTCTACGAACAGTGATTCAGATGTCTACTTGTCTTCAAATGTGACTTCAAGTAGAATACGCTGCAGTAGTAAAATGTAGACATGACAAATTGGTTTACTGTAGTGAGGGAAAGGCCAGAAAGAACAGGTCACAAATGCCTACTGAGATGGTGGTAGAAAAAGTGCACTTTGCTCCTGGAACCCTCGTTGCCATTGGAAGCTATCTAGGATCCTAGAGTATCCTCAGATTTCTAACGATTTGGGCAAAGGTTAGCCAAAACACTCACTACTGAGGACAAGGATCTCTAATTGAACCTTGGGAATGAGGACAATGAGGCAAGGGGAGAAGCTGGATCACACCTATGAGGCTATACCCAACAGGTGAAATTTACAGCAGTCCCCAGGCTGTTCTAAGCTGTGTCCATGGCTGGGGCCAAGACAGAATCAGGGATCAGAAGTCAGCTCCTTGACAGCCCATCTGTCTGCTGAGCCCAGCATAAGTTGGATGCAGCACAGAATCTGGGCCCGTAATATGCAATACATATATTGCATGATAGAGCAACTCTCTCTTTGCTAATTGTAGATGTTTTTCTTAATACTTTAGAGCTGGAATTAAAAAAAAACAATTCAATTAATTTTGAGGTTAAACGAATGCCAACACGTTTTTGTTTTCTAAAACCACTCCTCCCACTCTTCTTTTCTTTCAGTAATAAAAAAGCCAAAACGCATCAATGCTGCAATAAAGGAAGAATAAGGGTGAAATTCACCCCAATTCAGAGGGCCTGCCCGTATTCCTACTTTCTTGGTACTGGTGCATTTTTGTCCTGATATAACTGGGCAAAATAATCGTAATTAATAATATGGCAAATTTTGCCTTTTTTTCCTGTTCTCAGTTAATTGCACAGAGCCTGATTTTCACAAGTTTACTCATTATTCATATTTGTTCAGTGAACACCTTATGAAAACATATTTCAGTTATTCACAAATTATATACTTTGACTAGGTTTTGCATGCTTCAAGATTTATTAGTACTTGTATTGTGGTAGCATCAGCATCTAGGAGCCACAGCTGTAGACCAGGGCCCCTTTATGATAGAACAGATGACTAATGTGTGGCAACTGGTGTCCTAAATCACATGATATTGTTTCTACTTCCCGATAGGATGACAAATTTCTATAAACAGGAGAAAAATAAAGTAAATTTCAAGATGGCTACACAAATACTTCTGGTCCAGATACATTAGAATGAGCATTTGTGAGGCTATTGTTTTCCATGACCAAAATATAATAATTGTGAATTTCACATAAAAGGAATAAAAAGGATCATGAATTTAAAAATTAATTCAAGGATTTTATTCTAAGAAATGTTCATGGGTTTTTTTTTGGGGGGGGGGGGGTACATCATCCCCCTACTTTATTGATATCTATAGACTTTACTCTGCTTAGATGGGACAGATTCAGGCCTGGTGTATTTCCATTAGTTTCAATGGAGTTGCACCAAGCATGAAAGTGGCCCATTGACTTTACATTTTGAAAACAAACCTGTGTAATTGCAACACACCTCACATAATGTCTCCGCCATAATTCAAAGACATTCTTCCAATAGCTCCCCCTTTTATGCACTTGTTCCTTCCCTCACTCTTTATGACCACAATGCTCCCGGAACATCATTGCATCTGCATTTTATTATGATTACTGCTTACGGTTTGGGAAATCCTATATCTCACCCTGGCATGCTGTGTTTAATATTCCATGCTCTATTCTGCCGGTACTTTCTTTAATAAATAAGTACATATTTTGAAATATTCAGAATGCTTAGGGAATGAATTAAAAAATTGGCATACGGAAAGCCTACCAAGCAGCCTAACTGTATGCCAGGCCCACGGGAAATAGCAAAGCTGCCAGTCCTATTGTCTGAGGAGTCAGACTATAGCCTGCTGGTGTCAACTGTCTGCTGGCAATCATTAACATTATTAGTTAGATCGCAGGAGTGCCCATGGTGTGGTCTCCAAACACAGATAAGGCACTTTCCCTGCTCCAGAAAGCATACAGTCTAAATACAGCTTTAAATGTACACGACAGCATTGAGCCACAGTGATTTCCATCTAGAAAGAAAAGGAGAGCAAATGTGGAGAAAATAGCACTTGCCACAACTCCTCTTTCATTTTATTTTTTTCTCCCAGCAGATCCTTTAATACCAAATCCTCAGGGTGTTCAACAATTCTGCCCCCATCTTTAGACTCCTTTGCCCAAAAACCTGTACTGAAGCAACCCACGTGTGGTTGAGGACGACTGGATGGGACTCCCAGTGGCCAGTGGGTTCAACTGCTAAGTGACCTATAGGTCAAAATCACACTCCTTTCTTGTAGAGCTGCCTACCAAGAACTTCACAGTCCTCCCAGGCTAGGGAGAGAGAAGTTTCATCTGGAAACTGGACCCAGATTTCTTGAATGGCAGAAAAAGAAGCTGCAATATTAACAGATTACTGGACAACCCATTGATTTAATTACTTGTTTTTCCCTCCAGCTCTTTTAAACAATCAAAACATACAACATTTGAAGTACCTGTATATCCCAAACGCCTGATGAGAGGATTATAAGAAAAATGAAAATAAATAATAAAAATGTGCAAGCAGAATGGGAAAGGACTTGGGTGACTGCCCTATAATTAAAACTGATATCACTGGATGCCAATATAATAATTCATCTCAGCTGATAGACCGGCTAACTACAAATATATTGTGAATACAATAGACAGTCTGGGCCCTCTAAGATGAATGTTTTCTCTGCATGCGAGTTGCAACGAAAAGGGCTATTTTTTCCTTTCATTAATCCAGAATAAATAATGGTTATAATATTACATATCTGCTTGCCTTATCTCTGACAGTTTCTTCATACTGAAACAGGAGATTGCTGCAGTAGGCAGCAAAGCTTCTCAGTGTGTCGTGCATGTGAGAGAGAAAGAGAAAGGGTCATTCATGCTACAAAATATCTGGCAACATTTCAAAGTTGGCTTCCCTTCTAATCAGCCTTGAACATGACTACACTGTGTTCCTCTAATTTAAAGTGAGGTTAGAGCTACATTTCCTTTTATGGTGGTGTAATTATTCCTTTTTATTTGTACAATTTACCATCCTCAGTTATTCATTGATAGAGATTAATATTAGCATGATGTTCTAAGATGAAATATATAAAAAATATCCAGTTTTCATCTTGGAAGTCCTCAGTAGGCATGTTCCTAACTTGAGCAAACTGTTATGCTATGTAATCCATGTGGCATACATAATACATATAACAATGTATTTCCCTTGACCAACTTATTTGCTGACAGACTTGAAATGACAGATAAGGTAAGATTAAATATAATAGTCTCGTACATTCTTTAAATTCTATTTGACATTATCTCCCCCACGGGCAAATTTTCTCTTCCTCATCTACCTCCATTCTTTTAGTAAATCCTTGGTGCTCTTAAAACCTTAAACTTGCTCTATGCAGACGTGATTCCTTGCATCTATGTTTAATTCACTATGAAATGAGAACTGGAACTTTGGGGTTTCTTCAAGGTTTATGCCCTCAAGATTTGCTATCAGGCCTGAAAATATTTAAGGACTATATGAAAATTGTCATATGTGGGGTTGAGCTCTCCATGGTTTTTAGTTTTGTGAACTGCACCGCAGATTCGGTGTGAGATTTGATCCTGTGTGTGTGGCTACCATAGAAGAACATCTTACTGTACTCACTGCACAAAGGCAAGACTGGCATACAATAGATTTTTGGAAGGGGCAACAGGGACGGGGGCGAGTACCGTGTGTGAATTCATGCAGAAAAATCCAAAAGAAGCTTTGTGATATACTCCTTTGTGTCCATGCAAAGACTTGCACACTCAATTAAAATCTGGCACTGATGTGAAGCAAGCAATATTCAGAGAGTACAAGCAGCTGCCATTTTGCTGCTTTCTTTTGGAATACTGACAAAACGTGGGACAGAAGACAACTGATAGACACTCCATTAACTTCGGGTCCTTCTTTACCCCTTAAAACTTTTGAATTTGTTTCCAAACTTGGAATATATATAAATAGTTAAATATATATATAGTTCTTAGCCTACAGAAGCAATAGGACACAATAATTATTGCAGTCTCTTTATAAACTCTTCAGAAACTTCATAAAAATAGTAGGTTCTTTCCCCTACTCTGTCATATCTGTATGAGAGCAGTCAGAAATCCAGCTAATCTGACATTCTATGACAATTGAAACAACACAAGTTTAATTGTCAATACAAGAACAACAATGTATGCCCTCTCCCTTTAGCTAAAAATATTTCTGCCTTTTAGAGGTAGAAAACACTTTCCCCCTTTTTGTCAACTCTCCCCTTAATGAGAGAAGGATGGATGTTTCATTATTGGCTGAGTTAATATATTTGATGGATCACAAAAAAATAAGTGTCTTTTATATGGAGACTGTCCAATCTGCACCTTTACCGTGTAAATGTTAATAAGTTACCAATAGATTTTTCCCCCTCTGTGATTGCTGCATATTATAAATGCTCTGATTAATCAAAACCTGACTTTCTTAAATGTGTTTACGTAGCTCTTTATAACTGGGTAATTTTCTGCTGCCACAGTAATTACAGAGTATACCTTCCACATGAAAAGGGGCTATATTCCTGCAATTGTATTTTTACGTAGTCTGCTTATCTTGGTGGAAAGAGACAGATTTCCGATTATGTAAGTAAAGAGAAATATATTATGTATTTAGGGTGAAAGGGTACAATAGTTCTCACGCCCTTTGATTTCTCAATTTGCAACTGTTTTTTGTTATATGAATCAGAATTACCACCTTAAACATTTCATGACCATCATCATATAGTGTGCTGGGGCTCTGATCATGAAAACAAAAGAATATTAAAGGTAAACTAGCCAAATTCTGCACAGTAACTCCATTGACTTCAATGGCATTAGTTTGGATTTTAAACAATGTAACAGAGCCAAATCCCAATCCCACTTAAGTACTGTAAATGGCAAAATATTGGGACCAAGATTTAATCTGAGGTCAGAGCTTGACCCAGTATTTGCTGATGGGAGTTATTCACATCTTTGCAGAATGTTAGCAGTGATGCATAAGCCTGGGGCTGCTCTCCGCACATTTGTAGATTTCACTGTGACGTACTGCACAAAGCACTGTATTGGGACTCAGAAAACTGGTGTTCTATTCCCAGCTCTTCACTGGCCAGCTGAACGATTCTGGGCAAGTCACTTCCCTTCTTTGTGCCTCAGTTTCCTTTTCTGTAAAATGGGGATAATCATGCTGATCTCTCCTTTGTAAAGCACTTCGAAATCTACAAGTGAGCTGTGCTATGTAAGAACTAAGTATTATTACCATGTTATCCAGAAGCACAGTAAAGGATGCTTGTTGAACAGGTAATATTTCTATAAGATGCATTCCTCCACCCACTAAAAATGCCTAAGTATGGGATGTATATCATACCTCTAAAGGATGACATAAGTGCTTCTTCCTTGGATGAAGCCAAGAATACTTTTCACAGACCAAACCAAAATAGAAAGGAATGTTCTGATGCCCTTGAAAATGAAGACCTAACAAAGCAATAAACTTGTTAAAGAAAGAACTTCAAACACACAAGAATACCGGTCAACAGACATTTGTTCTGAGAAGAAAAGCATTAGGTTTTTTTTGGCCCAAATCAAAATATGTTTCACAAAATATAAATGGATTAAAAAATACCTGTTAAATGAACAGATATCTTCAAGAACAACAAGGGAGACAAAGGAGAGTCTTGTGGTCAAGACACTGTAAGGGGAATTAGGGACTTTTTATGTGACCTTAGACAAATCACTTAAT